TCTCATCTCCTCACCTTCCCTTCCCACGCTGCTCCCACCCAACCCCCCCACACCTCCCACCCGCTCTGCTCCACGCTCCTTTCCCCTCTCGTTGAGCTCCATCAGCCAATGCCACCCAACACCACCTCCACAAATGAACAGCCCAGGGACCACCCCAGGCAGGAGAAGACCCCCACATGGAGACCCATTGCATCCCAGGGGCTGCCTGTGAAGCGTTGGGCAGCAAAGCCCTGATAAATCCTGCGGCAGCAGCGCTCTGAGAGCAGCTGTGTTTTTCTAGGCATCAGCGATGTGACTGATAGGGTTTTACTGCTACCACAGAAGCTGTTCACACGTAAATGTTACACGAGCGTTTTACAGACTTTTCTGTCCCTGATATTGACCTTAATGTGGCTAAAGAGGACTTGAAAGGTGATGTGTTTCAGACCAAAAGCTCTCACTGGCAGGAAAATGCACCGGGTGTCAGGTGCTTAAAAAGCAGAGGAAGATGGAAGCCACAAACCTCGTGACCCTGCAGCCTTCACCTGTCCCCCAAACAGCCCGTCTGCCCAGCAAGGCCAGGATCAGGCTGAGCCCTTCCCAGCAGTGCCCCTTAACCCTCTGTGCTGGAGCCTCTCAAGAGGTGACTGGGAATTTGGGGACAAGTGGAGTGGGATGGGGAGCTGGGGACCAGGACAAGGTGATGGAAATTGGGATGAAGCGCCTGGTGAGGACTGGGACAAGGGAACTGGGATGGGGACTGGGAGGAGATGCCCATTAGGGACTGGGCTGAGTTGATGTGGACTGGGATAGGGGGATGGGGACCAGGATGAGATACTAAGGGGAACCAAAGCAAGATATCTGCTGGGGACGGGGTGATGGGGACCAGGACAAGATATTGGCTGGGAAAGGTATGAAGGGGTGAGGGGACAGGAGGACAAGGCAGAGTGGGGACAGAGTGACAAGGACCGGGATCCACTGGGGACCAGGCCAGGGCAACGCGGAGCATCTCCCACCCTCAGCCTCCCACGCTGACCCCCATCTACCGCCCACCCCCACCTGCCGGCCCCTCCTCCCCCTCCCCGCTGCCCCCCAGTCCCCATCCCGGCCCGCAGTGCCCCGAGGACACCGCTGTGGGGCCGCGCAGCTCCCGCGGAGTGGGAGCGAGGAGGGTTGGAGCGCGGGGCGCTGCCGGCTCAATGGCGGGGCCTCGCTCCCACGAGTGCATGAAAGGCCCCCTGTCCAAACGGCATTAGACGCGCTGCGGAGGCTCATTCCCGATCGGTCACGCTCCGAGGCGCAGCTGCAGCCCCCGGCCGCGGGAGCCGAGGATGCGCCGGGGCTTTGTTTGGGCGGCCCCGCTCCCGGGAACCGTGACAGGACGATCGGATTACGGAGCAGCCGGAGAAAAGTCGCCCTCGCTGTGAGCAGAGGGGGGAACGCGGCCCCCGCCCCGCCGAACGCTGAGCTACCTGCCTGCTGCCATCGGGACGGAACAAAGCCGGCCCCAAGTGCCGGGCTGGGCTGGGAGGGGTTGGGTAACGGCCCGTTAATGACGGCTCGCCGCCCTTCTGCCGGATGGGGGTGTAGCATGCAGTGGGGAAGGGCCAGAAGGGGTCAACGTGGAACAGAGACCCCCAAGAGGAGATGGCTTTCGTGCCCCAGCTGCGGTGTGGGGCAGAGCAGGTGCCCCCGTTGCCCATCTTTGGGATGCCAGCATGGGGCACTGCGAGATGCAAGAGCCAAACCCCAGAAGGGCGCACGGGGGGCAACACTCGACCAGGAGGAAAGACTGCCCTGAGGAAGCTGAGCAACGGGAAAAGGTGACAGCAGCAGCACAGCCCGGCGGCCGGGTCAGCAGCAAGAGGGACAGCGCCGAGGTTGGGCCGCCAAAGCCGCCCAAACCTGGCGAGAACCCGCAGAGGTTGCTGGGTCACGGCCTTTCTGTCCCCACCGGGCCGGTTACGAACCCGCCGCCAGACAAAGCCAGCACCCCGCAGCCCGGTGCTGCCATTTGCATCTTTGCAGAAGGGATTAGCGGAGCCCCGTTGTCCGGGTGTCACTCGGCGCCTTTGAAAGCAGATGACTTCATCCGCTTTCATGGCCCTGCCGCCTTCCAGTAATTAGATTTGCTCCCGACGACAGCAGCGGGGGCGAAGATGCCGGCCAAATTTTGCTCCCCTCTCGCGAGCAGTTTGGTTGTGGGTCGGCGATGGTCCCGCTGCAGGAAACCCCACAACACGGCAGGCGCTGCGCTGGGCGCGGGGCACACGGAGCCCCGTCGGGTCCCCGCACGGCGCCCGCGCTGCGGCCACGCGTGCAAAGCAGCAGCGTCACCTCCGGAGCTGCTGCGTCACTGCGAGGATTTGGAAACGGCTCGGCCCGAGGATGCTGCAGTTACGCATCTTCGTGCACGGCCCTGAAAGCCCCCCGGGCCCCGCCGGCGTTAATTCACTCAGCGCACCGCTAACGGGCGTAGCTTGTCCCTAATGAGCAGCTCATTTGAATCCATGCAAAGTACCAGAGAGCATGGAGACATGCTAATTAAAGTGACTGCTGCTCCGTAATTAAGAGGCAATTCCCCCCCCAAAGAGGGCTTTCTCATGCAAATACCGCCCGCTTTGGGTGATGTAAGGGCTGCGGCGGCAGCTGGGTCTCCCTAATGGGCTCAGGGGGCATCGATGTGGCAAAGCAGAAGAAAAGGAGCAAATTTCACCACTCCCCGCCCAATCCTCCTCCTGCGGGGGCTGCTGGGGGCGGCGGGGGCACAACGGCACGCGGCGAACCCACCGGGCTGCTTCCGAGCTCAGCCCTGCACTTCCCTGTTGTTTTTCCCCCGCAAAGAGTAATTATCCCCTCTGGATGCCGAGAGCCCTGCTCGGTTTTGTTTTCAAATCCTGGCGTGATCGCAGCGTGACGAAGCGCATCTGGTTTTTATACGAGTGGGAAATGCTTTCTAATAATCTCTGCCACAGCTTAAATAATGGAAACCTGGAGGCATCCCAGTAAACGGCACTGCGGGGCGAAACGGCGCGACTGCATCCAGTGCTTGGGCTGCGCCCAGTGCTCACCTTGTCCTAGGGCTGACTTTGCTCCTAAACAGTTCTGTATTAGAGGGCTGCTGCTAGAAGGGCCATCTTCCTCTGGGGCCATCATCTTCCTCTGGGGCCATCATCTTCCTCTGGGGCCATCAGCTTCCATTGGGGCCATCTTCCATCACAAACAACTTCCATCACGGACATCTCTCACCACGGCCACCTTCCACTGGGGACATCTGCCATCAGGGACGCCTTCCACCCATCAGGGATGTCATCTTTCATCACAGCCATTTTCTACCATGGCCATCTGCTATCAGGGCCATCTCCATCCCCTTTATTGAGCTATTCTCCACTTGCATCCCTTGGAGCAGACAACAGCCGTGGTCCCCCCATGTCCCTGCCCACACAAGGCACACATGTGAGCAGCGTTCCTCCCCCGCTCTGGCAGTCTGGGGACACGGAGTGCTTTTCCTCATTTCTCCCTTTTTGCACTTGTGGAAATAATGACGTCCTGCAGGAAACCTCTGCAGGGACAAAATTAGGGCTGGTAAACACTGGGTAGCAGAGCCCGCTGGCCTGCTGGGTTTGCCCAAAGACCCACAGACTGAGAGGCCCTTTGACAGGAAGCCCTTCGTGGGCACCAATCCCATCCCCACGCAGCCATCAGCACAGCTGGGCCGGGAGGGATGGAGAGCCGGGGCTGGGGAGCAGCGCGGGAGCTGGGACGCCCCACTCCGGAGTTTAATTCCAAAGATTAGGTCTAATGCTGGGCAATTTAGCAAGCTGTTAATATTAAATTACGCTGCAAATGATGGGAGCTTCCCGGATGCTTAATATGATCTTCTTGCGGTTTGCGTTTGGACGCGCTCCAAGCCCAGATAAGCCCACTTTTGTTGGTTTTAGCACTGTCTGCCCAAGCAGAGGTTTTTTTCTCCGCTGTTATCAGTTGGAGGATCGCGCGCAGAGCATGTGTGCAGCGTGCAGGAGCGCCTCCAGCCCCGCGCTCTGGAAAGGCTCAAACGACTCCCCCCGTCCTGCCCTGCAGCTCCGTGCCTTCATGCCGCTTGAAGGGCCGCGGGGGCAGAGGTGAGCAGCGCAGCAGAGCGGCGTGCAGCAGGTCCTGCGGGTGCGTGAACAGCCTTGGATTGCAAAACCCTCTGCACGAGGGAATGCAGATGTGTGGGTAATGTTTGCACGGGGGAAGTTTGCGCAGCGCTCAGGCACGCATTTTCATGCAAACAAGCTCTCGCTCGCGTGGGGCGCAGAGAGGTGTGCGGTGCACGGAGGTTTGCGCGCGCACAACTATTGCACGGCGCTCAGGAACGCACGTCTCACGTTCGCGCGAAGCTCCCGATGGGGCACGCGGACACGCAGCGCACGGCCAGAGCCCACAGGTGACGTTCACGCGCACAGCCGTTGCACGGCGCTCGGGAACGCGGCTTCACGTCGCAGCCGAGCGGGGCGCGCAGTGCGCAGCGATCGCTCAGGCACGGCCGCTCGCGGCAGCAAAACGCCCCGCTTGCACAGGGAAATTTTGCACGGGGAAAAGTCTCACGAGCGAAGCCGCGCCTCGTGCACGCGCCCCGCGCGCCGCCCCTCCCGCTCAGCCGCCCGCGGGCGCGCGCGCCCCTCCTACCGCAGCACCGCGCGCGCCCCGCGCCCCGCCCCCTCCCTCTTAAAGGGCCCGTGCCCGCCGCCCCGCTTCCTCCCGCGGGGGCCTCCGCCGCGCTCCCCCCGCTCCTCCGGCCCTTGGTACGCTCCGCGGGGCGGGGGCGGCGGGCGGCGGGGCTCGCGGGAGCGGGCGGGAGGCGCCCGGCCGGGTCGCCCGCCCCGCCTGCAGGCAGCGGGGCCGGGGCCGCTTCCCTGCGGGCTGGGGGACGCGGGAGCTGCGTTTCCCGGCTGGATGCGGCCGCCGGCAGCCGGGCGCGGCGTGACTCCTTGCGGGCTGCCCGCGTGCGCGCGGCGCGCCTCTCGCCTCGCACCCCCGGCACGAGCCGCCGAGCCCCGAACGGCGGCGTTGAGCGGAGCTGTCAGCCCCGGAGCGGTGAGTGCTGCGGCCGCGGGGGGTTTTGCGCCGCTCGGCCCGAGCCCCGCTCGTTAACGCGCGCGCCGACCCCGGCCCACTGACAGCGAGCCGCTCCGCTTCGCCTCTCGCTCGCGCCGCCTCTCCGTTCCGCTCCCGCTTTGCTCTCCTGCTTGCGGCTGCAGGCCGGGCGTCATCGCTGCACGAGGCAGGTTGAGCGCTCCTCGCGATCCTCGCCTGTCGCAAAGCCGCTTCCCGACAGCTGCCGGTGCTGCTCTGTCCACCCCCTCATTAAGACGGAAAGGTGCTTTTGCAATTAGTGGCGGCTGCGCTGTGGAAGCTCTCGGCTCGCGTGAGGCGGTGTGAATCCTTACCTTTTTGATCCGGTTGACTGTGACCTGCGTGCTTTTATTTTAGCAAACCAAACGCGCGCTGCTCGTGAGATTGAAGCCAACGCGCTGCGTTTTTGGAGGCTGCCTCGGGGAGAGCCCGATATACACAGCAATAAAAAGGGGAATGTGCATTTTTCCAGTAATCCCCTCCAAAACAAGAGGGAAGGCTCTGAGCAGATGGGCACAGCGGTGCTGCGGCCCCTGGAGCTGCTCGGTGCTGTTGGGGTCTCTCGGGCTGCTCGGTGGGATCGCCTCTCGGCGCTGCGCTGTTGTGACTCCGAGCTCTGGATGAGGGCAGCCCCGCTTGGAGAGGGATTAGCGATTCACACCAGGGTGAGCCTGGAGCTTTGTTACGGGGATTAACGCGATTTACACCCTTAAGCTGCTTGTAAGCGGCCGTGTCGGGGTGGGTGCTCTGCTCCCCTCCCGTGCGCCATGCGGGGCACCCCGGGCTGTGCTGCCCCGTGGGTTTCCATCGCCCTCCTCCTTGTGAGCACCGTTCTGGTGTTCCACCCAAACTCGTTGGGTCGGTGCACCCTGTGTGCTCCTCTGCTGGGGCTCAGTGCTCCTTAATGTGGTGTTTCTTACCCCCAAAAGCAAGGAAAGAAGTCAGGAGGGGCCGTAGTGCTGCAGGGCAAACCCCAGCAGTGCTTTCGCCATCCCGAGGTGTGCTGTCAGCCCATAAACTGGGGCTCGTGCTTACTTTGGCACAGCCATGTGCCAGAGGAATAAGGCAGCTGTGCTCCGACTTCAGGTGATGTCACTTGAGGATTTTAACTGTCAAAGCTTAGAAACACACTTACTTGTTTAAAGCCTGCTTCTGCAGATGTGGAAACAGTGAAGCACAGCGATGGATTGGCTCCACGGGCACACAGCGCTGGTGTTTCTCATCCCACCACCCCTCCGCAGTGCCTGCACAGGCCTTGGCTGTTGTGGGAACCCTGCTGGGAGCTGCGGCTGCTCAGGGTGCCGTCCTGCTCTGCTCACCACCATCAACGTAAGGACAGCAGTGCTTCAGCTTCCAAAACCAAGCTGAGAAGAGTGAGATGGTTAAGTCCTATCAGGATGAAGCTATTTTGTAACTCAATGTGGATTTGGGGCGTTTTTGGTTTCTCATGCAGAGCCGGGTGTCTCTGATCTGCAGCCTGCAGTGTTCTCAGGCACGCAGCCATCTGCGCAGCCGTATGAAGATGCGTTCTGTTTCATCGGTTTGATTTGGCTTGGCGCAGCTCCACGGTGCCCATCCTGGGGCTGCTGCTGTGTCTGTGTGACAGCTGCGGGTTCTGCTGCTCCTGGATGCGGTTCCAGAGAGGCTCAGAGCTGTGCTGGGTTTGATGTTCTCAGGGAGCCCCAGCACTGAGCTTGCAGCTTTCCCACTTGCTGCAGTATTTCTGTGGTTTTTAATGCTGTGAGATGAACCGTCCTGTAACTAGAAGTGTTTTTTAATAACAACAACCCGAGGTCTGCAGTGCGTTTTCTTTGTTTGGAGCCCTCAGTCTTTTCTCAGCCTCCCTGCTTTGACATTTTCCTCTCACTGACACGCACACACGTTCAGATACAGACAGTGTTTGAGCCCCTCTAAGAGCAGAGGAGCGCTGGCAGAAGCTGTTTGGGAATCTCACAGCTGAGTTGTGCAGCCAACGCAGTCAGTGCTGTTGTATGGAGGGGAGCTGCTCACGGTTCCTCTCTCGATGGGAACCTCCTGCTTTCCTATCAGTTCAGGCTTTCCAGGCTGGCACCAGGCTGTTCTCTGTGCACTGCTGCTGTTGCAGTCTGGTGGCTCAGCTGGCAGCTCTGCTCCCCAGGAGCGTTCCCAGCTGCATGGGAACGATTCACCCCGAGTGCTGTTGTCTGTAGCAGTTCTGCAGTGCAACATCTGACAAGTTTCCAGAGCTGCGTTCCCAGCACTGCCTGAACTTGCTGTTGTCTCTCCCTCTTTCTCCAGGGAGAGATCCTCCCTCTTCCCATCCCAACCCCTACAGTCTCCTCCGCAAGCTCAGCACGAAGGCTCTCTGCTAACGAGAGCAGTCTCCAATTACCCATCTCAAGAATTCCTGGAATAGATAGCTGCCTGTGTATGTGCACGCTGCTTTTTTCTGGGTGTTCTTCCAGCAGTTTCCTTGTAGATGGCTCCCTGCATCTTCCAGGGCTGTGTGTCACACGGTTCTGCTCAGCCCCATCGTGGTGCTGTGCTGATGGCCCTGCAGCAGTTTGACGAGCCGTGTGCTCAGCACTGCCTGCACCACCTGCCTTTCCCATTAAGCCCTCGCTCTTCCGATGTGAGAAATCTCTGCTGCCTTCCAACAGAAGGGAAAACGATCACGCGAGCTGGGCTGTGTTTCCATCTCTCATCTCTGTGAGCTGCTGGAGCTCTCCCACCACCCGGGGGCTCAGAGCAGAGGGTGCATGGCTGGTGCCCTGGGGATGCTGCTGGGTGGGTTCACTGCTCAGAAGGGTGCCCCAAATTTTCTGATGGCTGCGGTGGCTGCAGGGGGGGGCGCAGCCCCTTTTGGCAGCAGCCAGTTTTAAATGAGCTTAACTGGCTCATAAAGCTGCGCTCTCATGTAGCTGAGCTAAGTGTTGCGGAGGGGAAAGGCTTTGCTGTTCCCCCATACTTTGCCCCATAAACCCATTCAGCTCACTGAAACAGTAAGGGGGGGGAGGCTAAAAGAAATAAAAAAGAAGTGGTAAATCCCCTGACGAGCAGCAGGAGATAAGCCCCCTCTGTTGGAGTGTTTCTGGGTCCTGCCTGGCAGCTGGGGGCAATGCTGGGGGAGCAGAGCGTGCTGGGCTGCGAGACTGAGCTGCTGCAGGAACGTGAAACCGCCCCCGGCCTCACCTGTCTGTCTGATCACGCCTCTGATTTATGGGCTGGATTTTGCTGTTTAGTTTTCCCCACAGACTTCAACCATTGTATCTGATAATGAACCGAGTGGTTGAGCCTTATTTGTTTAATTCAAAGGCAAGTTTAATGTTTCCTACCTCGGAGTGGTACAAAGTCTGCGCGCTGGGTTTTCCTCGCAGCAAATCTACAAATACCGAAGCAGAGCAGAGGAGGGGAAGGGCTGCAGTGGGAATTGGGCTGTGATGGTGCACAACGCAGTGCTGCTGCACCAAGCTGAGCTCAGACAAAGGGGCTGTGTGCTCTGGGAAGGGCTGGGCACCACCGGCTGGTGGCTGTGGGGTGAAGGTGGCTGTGGGCTGTGCTGCCCTGCTCGTCCTACGGATGCTGCCCCTTCCCTACCTCTGCTGTCCCAGGGAGGGCTGCAGCAGCTCCCGTTCCTCTTGCAGTGCCCTGGGATGTGTGCTGGCACTGCTGGGCAACAGCCTGCTCCGATGCAGTTGGAGATGCTGTGGTTCCTATGAGTGGATGCTATGAGGTGTTTCCCTCCCTCGGCTCTCAGCTGGCAGAGAAGACATCCATGTGGCTGACAAGGAAAGGCTTCTCACTGATGTGCTGGTGCAGGAGGTGACCCCTGCGAGTGCTCCTCGTTGAGGACGTGGCCGTCATGGGGAACTGCACCAAGAGTGGAGGAAGTTGGTGGCCACAAACCACAGGAGTGTTTTGGGGTTTCTGATCCCCTCTGGACCCGAGCGGGGCTCTCCCCACTGCAGTCCCTGTTGTGAGGTGGTGTTTTTTCTGTTCTTGTTTCCCTTCTTGCTTGCTGTTTGTTAAGAGCTGATAGATCAGCCCAAATAAGGGTATGAGAGAAGCTGGAGGTTCTCAGGAGGATCCACAGACAGTCAGTACATGACTTGTTGCCTTTATCTCTGAGATCAGGAGATTCTTTTGCAGTGATGGATTAATCCACTCCTGAGTGAATAATATAACCAAGAACAAGCAGGAGCCAGCACTCCAAACAGATGATGTGTTTAATAGTGCGTGCCTCTCCTCCCCCACCGAACTGCGTCTGTCTTCACCGTCTCATTCTGCGGGGCCCGCTGAAATCCCAGCACGTACGGAAGGGGGGGAAGGCTTGGGGCCGTGTCAGATGTCTGCAGGTGGGTGAGGGTTGGGAGCTGCCTGCAGCCCCGTCTCAGGGAGCAGCGCTCGCTGTCGTGGCAGTGGCATTGCTTTGCTTTGGGCCCCGTGGGGACGTGGTGGCCTCGAGCGCTGCAGCACCCAGCGGAGTTTCTGGGTGCCCTGGGCTGCGCAGGCTGGGTGCTGAGGGCGGTGATGCATCGTGGCTGTGCTCCGCTGCCTGCAGCAGCAACAGCGCCGCGTGGCTTCTGCCCCTTTCCCCTGCAGAACGCAGCTCTCGCATTGCAGCCACGCTGAGGGAAGGCCAGGCCCGGCTCTGCGTGCTGCTTGCTGAGGACTGTTACTTTTAAGGAACTGTTTTGCCTGCAGTCGCTTCAGGAGCCCTTTGTTTCTCAGCAGCCTTCCATCCGTGCGTGTTGGCGGGGCACGGAGGCTGATTGCCTCAATACCTTGCAGTGACATCGCAGCCCGGAGGTTGGAGCCTCCTCTAATGAAATGTGAGCTGAGGAGGAAAACCCCGAGGGTTTCTTGGAACAGAAGATGTTTTCTGTTCTTGCCACTAATCTTTGTTGCCGAATGAAATTGGAATGTATACTTCAAATCTCTGTAAGGGTGTAGAAGGAAGCTGGCAACGGATGTAATCAGAA